CCACTAAACTCACAATTTCAGTCGCTTTTCGCCTTTGTGTCTGACTTCGTAAGACACAAGCAGACGGCTTGTCACCCCACAAAGCCTCATCCACCCCACTCGAAATGCGCGCCCCATCAAAAACCTTATTTTTCAATACTTGGATTTGTTCTTTAATAGCATCGATCTCATCCACTGGGTAAACCCCAGATGCCTCTCCCTGCGCATAACATTGTCGTAGATGACCCTCCAGGTACCTCTGAAAACTATACTCCAAGCGAGTGGCCTCCTTACACCGATGCACATAAAAATTCATAATTTGAGGCTTCACAACCTCATCCCACTGTCGTACTAAATCCCACCCCTCCCAGGAGTCTACTCCCATAGACGCCCAGAAGTCCGCAAATAGTTACCTATCATCCGCACTTTGTAGCATCCTCGTATTCAGTTTCCAGTATCCCTTAAAACGATGCGGGAGACCTCCCCAGTCGAGCTCTACAAAAACTCCCCGGTGGTCGGAGAAAAAGACATTCAATACATGCACATTGATTACGATCACCCGCCGAGACACATACACCCTATCTAAACATGCCGCATAGCCCCTACGCACAAAAGTATGCTCAATCCCCAAGTCACGTCCTCCGCGTACATCTACCAACTCCAACCCAGACAACAAGTCACCCAAAACAAGCAAACAGAAACCCGCCCCCCTCGGTTCAACGTCTTTACGGCGCACCACACAGTTCCATTCACCACCGACCACTGTAATTTCTGGCAGGGACCTCAAATAATATACCAAGACATCTCTAACAAAAGTATTTTTAATATTAACATCATGTTCAGCTGGCCCATATACCCCTACGAAACCAACCCTTCTACTACCCCAATCCCCCACGACTCGCACCACGTGACCCTCCCCCCCCCTTTCCCCCCAATGTCTCAACACAAAAAGGGCTGGTCGCTTTTATCAACACAGCCACTCCACCTTTCAGACGTCTGGAGTGAGTCACATAAATGTCATAACCATCCATCTCAAACAAACTTCCTACCTTATGGTTATGTTCTTGCAAAAAACGCACATCCACTGCAAAACGATTCAACCACTCACGCACCTGCACACACTTTCTGACAGATTTCAAACCATTAACATTAATAGTTACACACCTAACTGTGTTAAAGGTGGCTTTCCTCTAGGGGCTACCACTCCCTTTTTCTCTTTGCGCCGGCAAGCACCCAAGGCACTTCCTGCACCTTTGGCAATCCCCGGGATATTACCTGCTGTCCTGGACTCGCGCAACCTCCCCCCACCCATGATTTCCGACCACGTCTTCTTCCCTGAACGTTGTCCAGGGGTCAAGACATCATCGGAGTCGGACGGGGTAGCCGCACGCTTCCTAGAAACAGCATCTTCAGACATGTCAGCACTTGGAGTGTTCTCCTTGTGAATTTCTGCCTCAACAGTATGAACTCTCGAACTCTCCAAATCTCTCACTTTAGCTATCTGATCAGCATCATCTGCACGTAATCTTCCCTCATCAGAACACGGCACAGAATCAGACTCATGCGATGCTAATAGGTCACTTATCGCAGATACAATGTCGGCCTCCATATCACCTGCCTCTCTTGCTAGAGGGATTTCACTGTTCACATGTTCCACCTCGTCAAGGGAGGCAGTCCCAGGTAGAGTCACACATGGCCCGATCAACCTCAGCACTCCATGATGTCAGACGCGGCGAGTTCTCGACAACCTCCTCTTCCAGAGCCTGACGGGGTACCTCACCGTCAGGACCACGACCACGCCCCGATGGTGGCTGGCGCTGAACACACTGAGCCGCTATGTGATCCAAAGCGCCGCAGAGGCGGCAAGTTCTTCTCTGTCCAGGATACATAACGTACACCTGGGAACGAAAATCCTCCAGTTGTACGTACGAAGGAATCGGCTGACGCAGGGACATTTTCAACGTAAATGACCCCTCCTGAAGACCAGCATAGTGGCCGTCAGACCACCTACCCATGGTGACCAGGTGGATCTTCCCATAATGTTCAAAAACGTCACGTATATCAACTTCATTGGCCTCAAAAGGCACGTTTCGCACACGTACCCACGTATAGTATCGTGAAACGTCATGCAACTGGACAGAAACTGCTGGGGTGACTTGCTTACTTATATCCTGGTACTGGGTCACAATCTTCTCGTAAATCTGAGTGTCACAAAACTTGACGAAGATCTGTGAAGTTCCATTCAAGGCGACGCCACACAAGGATTCACGTTGAATGCCATATGTATCACGAATGATTGCTGGCATTAACACATTTACTGATTCGCTGGTGATAAAGCCCTGCGTTAGTTGAATGCAAACAGTATTAACACGTCGGCGAAACGCAGTCGCCATTGTTGTTGATATTGTAAAAACTCCTCCACCAGGTGTCGGGACTGAGGAGAAGCAGCTGACAACCGCTCAGCACAACGTCTGAGCAGAGGCTGATGAATGATTACATCAACTTCGCTTCCACGTCTGCTGCTTCTGTATTTAACTGCATAAGCCTACTGTGTAGGTGTAACGTTTCAATCAACAGTAAAGATATTCAACTGTTGTACGTTTGTCTCGCTCTTCAACTTGTCGATATTGTATACCATTTTGAACATGATAAAGTCGAGTGTGTGGGCAAACCGTCATCAATAAAGAATTGTATTTAACTGCACCTATGTCTAGCATTATGTATCTTAAAGCATTATTTACCCAATTTCAAAAGTTGTACGAGATCCGAACCCAAAATGCGAAATAACTCCTTGAGTGTTAATGAAATAACTACACCTGATAGTCATAACTGTTGCTGGAAGCAGCATGGCTCTGCAACAATACCCACATATATAACGCAGGGTTCTGAGGTACCTACTTAGCAGTACTACTCGAGCTCTCATTACAAAGGCAAGAAAAACAGTATATGATGAAAGATTACCACTTTGTTTTTTCCCTGGCGGTCCATTTTCACGTAATTTGTTTAACGAGGAGTTAATGGTCGCTGTCCATCTGTAGCAGGAAGAAATGAGTCTTTTCCCAGACCCATCCTAAAAAAAGTAATCCTTACATTTCACACTATTTATTTTCTCGACATATGTTCACCTCTTAAAACCAAACTGAGAAATTTTTTTAAAAATATAAAGTTTACTCGAGAGAGAAATAAATAATTAAGGAACAACTTCAACGACGTTTAGTGTTTTGTGAGTTAATGGATTTTTTCCTTAGACCACACAGAGAGTCTGAGGCAGACACCTTCCAATTTAGGCCAGAATTTTCCGTTTAAAACTAACAACTTTTTTTTTTTAAGACGCCCCCAATCAACACAACAAAAAAATGAAATGGCGTAATACTGTACCATAACAACGTCTCGGTCAATGAGAGCTTTAAGTTATGATAATTAGATAAAGTTCTCCTTGAGTGGAACTATGTCATAATAATGAAAAAAGCTTTTTCATATGTCATCGTTATGTACTTGTGGGATCGCTGCCCAATGTTACAAGACATTTCTCAATGTTTCACTTTATATACCTGGAGTATACCTGGAGTATACCTGGAGAGGGTTTCGGGGGTCAACGCCCCCGAGGCCGGTGTGACCAGGCCTCATGGTGGATCAGAGCCTAATCAATCAGGGTGTTACTGGTGGTTGCACGCAAACCTGTGTACGAACCACAGCCCGGCTTGTCAGGTACTGACTTTAGGTACCTGTCCAAAGCCTTCTTGAAGACAGCTAGGAGTTTATTGGTAATCCCCCTTATGTGTGCTGGGAGGCAGTTGAACAGTCTTGGGCCCCTGACACTTATTGTGTTGTCCCTTATCATGCTAGTGGCGCCCCTGCTTTTCTTTGGGGGGGATGTTGCATCGTCTGTCGAGTCTTTTGTTTTCATAGGGAGTGATTTTCGTTTGCAAATTTGGTATATGCAAAACAACCACGGAAGGAGTTGAATAACAGGTCTAGGCCTTTCGTGTTGCAATCAACACATCATCAGGAGCTTGCAATGTTGCAGAAAAAGGAGGAATTCCAAGCAAATGTGTTCGAGCACACGTGTCTACTCGATTCACTTTACAATCGTTGCTTTTAAATTTCCTAAATCATGTACTTCATGTGACATTATCGACCTTCTCTTCGAATAATACTTTTATTTATATTTCTACCTGATATTATATTATGTTTATTTACATTAGGCGCAACGCTACAATTTGTATTTATGTACATTATTTCAATAGCATTCATCTTTATTATTGACAAAGAATGTTATCTATTTAGGATTCATATATACATTGTGTTGAAATTCCCTGAGGAAACTGAAGAAGATTCAGCCATGTATCCTTAGATAATCACTCTTCAGTAGCAATTACTTCTGTACCTGTATGTGTACTGTTTAATTTTGTCAAGAAAATAAATATATACACTGATATCACAAACCTATACAATACCTAAATATTTATTGTCGGTACATTCTCAGATATGGCCTATTAAAAAGAAGTTTTAATACTTTTTCTTTTTAATCAGACGTGCTTCAATTATCATATTTCTGCTTAACAGCATTAATTGTATAAAATAACTCGGTATATTCAATCAAGGAACTATCAACGTAAATATTAAGTCAAGAGCGGTGGCCAATAAGGTAACGTTTTCTCAGTGATGTCATTAGTGTACTGCAACTGGTATTATAATAAAATATGAAGCACTAAACAGTTTACTCCAGTAAAAGCGGGCTTTTTAAAACTGGCACGTCTTTACCATTATTAATATTACAATGAAGGGGAGAGCTAAACCCGTAGGATTATGCAGCGACTGTGGGAGTGATGTGGAAGGAATTCAGGAAACTGCAGCACAGATCCAATTCCCTAGATCAAGAGCCCCTCACCAGCGTCAAGGAACCTTCCTTGAGGGGCATGTCTTTACCAATAGGAGCGCTGCTTTCATCCTCGCTAAGAGCAAAACGGTGACGCAATGGTGACGTAGCCATCCGAGGTATTAAATAGAGGCGTGCGAGTCTCGGGTTATGTACTTTCACTTCCATCATCAAGAAAGGAGGATCTTGTGTAAAGTGTTGCGTTAAATTTATTGAATGATAAACGTTTGTGGTTTAAGTGTAATAGTGAATCTCAAGCCCGAAGCCTCTAGGATAGTTTAAAGCTTTTAAGTAAAGGTAAGCATAAATGTTTCGCAAGTGGGAGAATTGGTTTTGGATGGGTTGTAGGTGTGGTCTCCTCAAGGGAGGTTCCTTGATGCTGGTGAGGGGCTCTTGACCTAGGGAACTGGATATGTGCTCCGGTTGCCTGAATGTCTTCCACCCCCTCCCCCACTACATGCGCTGCATAATCCTATGGGTTTAGCGCTCCCCCCCCCCTCAAGGAAGGTTCCTTGATGTTGGTGAGGGGCTCTTGATTTAGGGAATTGGATCTGTGCTCCAGTTCCCCAAATTAAGCCTGAATGCCTTCCACATCCCCCCCCCAGGCGCTGTATAATCCTCCGGGTTTAGCGCTTCCCCCTTGATTGTAATAATAATAATTAGCGCTCCCCCATGATTATATAATATAGGCGTGGTGTAGATGGCAACAACTGGGGTCGATGGTTCTGAATGAGATGTCGGCGCGAAGGTGTGGGTAGTAGCAAGTGGGTCGATGGTTCTGGGTGGATTGTAGGCATGTTGAGCGCTGCATGATCCTGGTAGGTTTTGATGATATAGGCATGGTGTGGGTGGTAACAAGTAGATCGGATCAACGGTTCTGAATAGGTGTGCTTAGCAGTAAGTCGATGGTTCCGGATGGGTTGTGGGCGTGGAGGTGTGGGTAGCAGCAAGCTGGTGGGTCGACGGTCTGGCTGGGTTCTGTCTGCCGTCCCTCACGCCAATTTCCTTCCAGTCTTTTCTCGCGCATTGTTGCCGCTTCGTGATTTTTTCTATTACAAGTTCGTAGCTTGAATGCTTTAATTTACGAAGCGTTAAGCAGTCCTCATTATTGTAGCATATATAGTATTTATGATTTTATAAGAATCTCTTTTTCCTACAGATAAAATTATTTTTGCCTATATTACACTACAGAGCTGCTTGGCAATATGTTCGGGACTACTACTTAACGTTTTTCCACGTTTTCCTGCAATTTATTGTTAATCATAGTTTCCTGTGCTGTTTTTTTTTTTTTAGTTTTCTAATAGATGATATTCATTGTTCTGTATAATAACTATTTCAATATAATAAATCTATTTTCGAACTTAGTCTCATATGCGACATGATTACTTTGGGTAGTTTTAATTAAGAACTTTTTACAAAGTGGGTGACTGGATGTGATTCAATTCGGCCTAACTTAAGTTAGTAAGCTGCTTAGTTTTTCCCTATTATTGCATCCATTACATCTGTTGTATTCCTGTATAGTTAGATCATTTATTCCCGTCCTTTGTAACTGTATAATAAACTATTTGTGCGTAGTTATATGCAATGGTGTCAGTTTTCAGGGACAACAGTTAATGACTAAGTGGTTATATTCACTCTACCAGTTACGGGCTGTAGCTCGTACGTTAGTTTACGTGCGACCAGCAACCTGGTCGATCAGGCCCTAATCCATCTGGAAAGAAATGGTTCATTAGGATTTGAGATTAAAATATATATATATAAAATATATGACGAGAGATCTCTATGCATAACCTGTTTATTAGGATGCGTTTAGTGAAAGTACCTTGAGACCTCGACTAAGAATTTGTTTTTGAACATATTTGACTGACTTGTTTGATTAAAGCAGCACCTTGATAATGGTACTGCTTTAGTAAAGCATGCGACGCTTTGGTAATTACACCGAATACTCTCGTTAATGTCTATATACTGTACTCAGATTACTAACTACCTATGTTTAAGGTTTATAGACTACACGAGGGTCATAGTTAACTAAATCCAGCTAAGTATAAACTAAATAACTTAGTTTTAAAACAAAACGGTATTAAAAAAAACACATACCGTACACAAATGTATTATATATCTTGCATATGTAACTAGATGAAGAAGCTTTAATGACCCAAAGTAGTATACATGTACTGGGTTTAACCCTAACAACCTAAACATTGGCAACTGTAATAAATCTTACTTTTGTTTTAAATTTCTTTTTAAAGCTGCAAGTTGTTGAATGTATAAAGTGATTATATCAGTTATACATAATGACTCATTGTGCCCCACAGAATATACTTAACCTTGGTTCAGTACATTCGTAATTAGTTTCCTGTTTTTTCACTCAGGAGTTAAGGCTAATGATAATTTTATTTAATAAAATACGGAAGTGGAAACCTTAATTAGAGAAGCATAGTGTCATTTCAGACAATGGCGGAACATATTAAGATGGGTACCTCTGAGCTTCATTGCATGTATACACAATCCAGACGTAGCCATTTAAGTTTTGTTTTATCCCGCTAATCTGTATATATTTTTACCATCAAACTTCATGATTTGTGCTGTCGTTACAGAACTTAAGGTACCGCATGTTATAGCAAAGTCTGGGATATGAAAAGTGATATACAACCACACACGATCTTCCAGTAGCACCATTGCAATCCTCGATGTCTTGTGTATAAAAAAAAAAAAAAAACTGATTTGTGACAATGACTACCATCCACTGGCTTGCTCGGTTTATAAACTATACACTGCATAGCTTATTTTTACTCGTTAATACGGTACTTTACTACAATAAGGAGTAAAAAATCGTAGTGAAAATAAGGTGCATCCCTTCTTTAATTTAACAGGACGTGGCTATATCCACACAATTTCCCGTCCGGTTTTATGTATGATTTCAGGATTGGTTGTCGTAACCAATATTGGCCAGTTTGTCATTAATCCCTTTCGCACAACGATGCCAAGGAAACCATACCACGGGTGGGGTTAGAACCCGCGATCAGTGTCAAAACTCCAGACCGTCGCGTTAGTCACTGGACAAGGTAGCCACAATAAGATTCATCCAACTAGGTATATTTATACACCATAGGAAGGTTAGCATAGGCACTATGTTGACGGTTTTGAGGGGACTTGAGCCAGAGTTCGTCACGGCCACGCTAGCTGGAGATTCGTCTGTAAAAACTTGCATTTGTGGTCAGTGGTGCCTATGCTAACCTTCCTATGGTATATAAATATACCTAGTTGGATGAATCTTATTGTGGCTAGCTGGCCCAGCGGCTAACGCGACGGTCTGGAGTTTTGACTGATCGCAGGTTCTAACCCCGCCCGTGGTATGGTTTGTTTGCAGTCGTGTCATTACGATTTCGTGAGTCATACCAAGGAAAGTAAGATACGCTGGACAGGGAAGTAGGCAGAGCGCTGACCACCCTGGTAACCTCTACCATCACCTGCCACTCTTAACACACAGTGAACAGTCAGTCATATTCATGCATTTTGTGGTATAATTCACTTGGATTATACACTAAACGTGAAAAATATCATTTAAAGAGTATATAATGCCAGATCTTATTTTGTTTAATTATATTAAATGTTCAGACGGATGTTGTGCTCTGTACTTGTTAGGACTTATAACAATGGTGTACTGCTATATGCTGATTCTGTAATTAGTGTTCGAGTGTCTTAAAGATATTCTGTTCCTGAAAAGAGCATAATGACAACTTTCTCTGTACACATGAAGAGGCAGGCCAGCGCGCACTGTTTTTATTAAGTTTCCTTATCGCTGCCAGCCGTAGAAATAAATTGAAGAGGTTGATGCGCTAATTAAGTTATAATTAATAGTACTTCGTATTCATAAATATCAAATGGTGTCAAGAAAGGGGGTAGTATTTTAGGAAGACTTTAGACCACGATTTAAAGGCACTTAATTGGTGTATACAAAAGCAATTGTATTTTCACCCACATTCTTAAGTGTACATGGATTAACTGTGACCTAGACAGACCTGTAAATTAAATTTAAGCTATATAAATAGTTAATTTTAACGTTATTTTTAATTTAATAGAATCAAAACTGATTACATCTTATTCCCCCGGCGATGTGACCCATGAAAGATTACTGCTCCTCCAATAGTAGTCTAATACATTATTTTTTTTTTTATATTTAAAAACTTCATGTACAGATATTAATAGGTACATATATAAAAAAATGATCAAGGACATCAGTAAAACAATATATAAACACAAAACAATCCAGGCAACATCTGACAGTCTACTATATACAAGTTTTTATAACATATCACAATTTAAGAAGGAATAAAGTTATAATAACAAAGGCCACAAAATGGCTATTAATAAAACTCCTAAAATTACAACCTCAACACAATAATGCTCCAAGCTTAATGACAATCACCCATAATACCACTCTCAACAAATACACCAGACCTACAATATGCCTTATTAAGAAACCTGTGCTGCAACACAGGTGACCCATCATCCCCCCCCCCACTCACACACACACATTGAAAACTAACCCTATCACCAACCTGAATAATCATGACATTAATTATCCTCAATTTAGGATTATTATGACACATGTCACTTGAGGAAGCATTATTTACAACCATGAATGGTACAGGACTACCAAAATTACAATACCTTAAATAAGAACAATAATAATAGGTAATTACTACCAAAACTGATGCTGGACCACGTTACAATAAAACAAAAATAACTCAGTGCTTCAAGGAAATAGTGAAAGGAAAACCCTCTCAAGAAAATTCAAATTCAATTGCAATACCAGTGTAAGTGGAACATAATACGCTACCATAATACATTATTTGAAGACTATTACCATAACTGCATTGAAAAACTCGCTAACCTAAATTATTAAAAGTTTTATAGTAATATATAGTTTTGTTCAAATTTCACTACTAAAAATGTAGGAAAGCACACAAAGATCCAGATGAAACAATCTTAAAAAAAAATGTGCAGAGGTGGCAGCCGCTGCCTCCCGGCGAGTGTAGAAACCTGCTTTCTCCAGTTTCCACAACATTTTGACCCAAAATATTAGGTGTCGCTATGTCGCTGTCTTCCCCTCAATCTTTCATTATTATCCCTTTTTTCCTATCTATTCTCGCATTACTTGTACAGATAGAACCTATAGCAGTAAGAATAAAACAAAAATCCTCAGAGGTGGGTGGTGCTCCGGAGCCTTACCTGGAGTCTACCCCCCTTTTTTTTTTTTTTTTTTTTTTTTTACACGGGGTTTGACAAGGTTAAGGATGGCATTCCGGGGATCAACGCCCCCGCGGCCCGGTCCACGACCAGGCCTCCCGGTGGATCAGGGCCTGATCAACGAGGCTGTTACTGCTGGCCACACGCAATCAAACGTACGAACCACAGCCCGGCTGATCGGCACCGTCTTTAGGTATCTGTCCAGTTCCCTCTTGAAGACAACCAGGGCCCTACCGGTAATGCCCCTTATTGCTGGTGGGAGGCTGTTGAACAGTCTTGGGCCCCGGACACTTGTTGCGTTTTCTTAGTGTACCAGTGACGCCCCTACTTTTCACTGGGGGTATATTGCATCGCCTGCCAAGTCTTTTGCTTTCTTAGTGATTGCTGTGTGTATATTAGGGACCAGTCCCTCTAGAATCTTCCAGATGTAGATTATATCTCTTGCCTGCGCTCCAGTGAGTACAAGTGAAGTGCTTCCAGGCGCTCCCAGTAGTTAAGGTGCTTGATGGAACTTGTACGTGCAGTAAAGGTTCTCTGTACATTCTCTAGTTCTGGAATTTCACCTGCCTTGAATGGGGAGGTTAATGTACAGCAGTATTCCAGCATAGAGAGAATAAGTGATTTAAAAAGGATCATCACTGGCTTAGAATCTCTTGTCTTGAATGTTCTCGTTATCCATCTTATCAGTTTCCTCGCAGATGTGATAGTGGCATTGTTGTGGTCCTTGAAGGCGAGGTCTTCGAACATTACCACACCCAGGTCCTTCACATTACTTTTTCTCTATTGTGTGATTAGTTTGTAGTATGCTCAGTCCTAGTATTTCCTCCAGTTTTCCATAACGGAGTAGTTGGAATTTGTCTTCATTGAACATCATATTGTTCTCTGTTGCCCATTGGAAAACTTGGTTTATATCTTCTTGAAGCTTTGTCGTGTCCTCCAATGGATGACTCTCATGCAGAACCTAGTATCGTCTGCAAAGGATGATAGTGCTATGGTTTACATCTGTCTGATATGAGAATAAGGAACAGGATAGGTGAGAGTACTGTGCCTCGTGGGACAGAGCTCTTCACTTTGGCAGCATCTGATTTAACTCTGTTAACCACTACTCTTTGTGTGTGATTGGTTAGAAAGTTGGAGATTCATCTGCCTACTTTGCCATTTATCCCTTTAGCACGCATTTTGTGTGCTATTACACCATGGTCGCACTTGTCAAAGGCTTTTGCAAAATCTTTGTATACTACATCTGCATTCCGTTTTTCCAGTGCATCTAGGATCATATCATAGTGGTCTAGCAGTTGCGAAAGGCAAGAGCGACCTGCTCTGAAACCATGTTGCCCTGGATACTGAATTCTAATCCTTTGCCTAAATGGCTGATTTCTCTTTTGTCACTTAAGTACAGCCTATTCTATAAAATTATGTATGATTTTAATTGCTATTAATGGATTTTAAGTTTTTATTTACAAAGCGTCAATGAATTTGTCGTATTATGGAATTGGTAATAACACTGGTCAACAATTCTTGAAAAGTTGTGCGCTTCTTAATTGAGATTAGTTAATTCTTGTGCATTTTCATGTCCTGAATCCAAATATTACCTTGAAAATGCTTATTGGCTATAGGTTTAAAGATACGAGACTTGTAATATTTCATTATTTTATTATAACATAATCGGTATGTTTTAAACAGTTTTGTGTAGTGGTGGTAGCCAAATTTTGTTTGGTTCATTGAGAGGTGAATGTTGAACATTTTTCATCCCAGGTTTTCTAACCATAGCAGTTATATGGCGCTTCTGTGATGCAAAGGTCATCTCACCACAAATGTAGCAGCTGTCTGCTCTATTCACACAAGTACGAGGCATCTGAAAGAAAAAAAATTAGAAGATAAAAAGAAAACTTATTCATTAATTTTATTACAGTACAGAGCACGACAGGTAAACAGAAGTATTTATATCATTCAGTAGGAAAATTAAAATATATGCCTCGCATGCATATCAATAGCTTGCTCAGTGAATATTTATTATAAGTTTAAAAGGTGTTTGGCTAAGAAAATCACGTACCTTTCACCTCGAAATATAAACTTGTACAGCACAACCACCTTCTATGACTGCTGGAACAATAATGAAGGGCAGTGAGACAGTGTGGTAAGAAATACTGCCGCAAGCCTGTTGGAACCTGTTGACACGTAGGTGTATATTGAAACGTAGAGCTAACAATTTTAACCATGATATTCATTATCAGTGACCTAAAATTAGTTGGAAATTGCTACTTTGGTCTCGGAAGCATTTTGTTCACCCGTGTAATACCAAATAAGATAGAAAAGTGGTAATGGTGGCTGCCAATTAACAATGACACCCACATTCTTTTAAAAGCTCTGAATAATCCAACTGTTCCAGTACCTTGTACATAAAATCAATCTTGAGTAAAGTGAAATTAATTTAGACTTGCAAGATAGCTGTTGTATAGACCCTTGTTTCCTTGAACGATGTTATATACGATGCCATTCTGCAATCAACTGCTAGTAATTTTTTTTGCAATTTGCATGTGAACTGGACATACACACGTGATTATAGTACGTGTTAGTAAACTATATGAATATTTGAAGTTTTTATTAGTCACTGGACAGGATTTTTGTTTGTAATTTTTCAGCTGTTGCTAAAATTACGTTAATTATATTGGTTGTGTTAGCCAGTAGCAGGAAAATATTGATAAGTTAGAAATGCCTAAAGGATAAAATAGTGTAGATGCAACTGACATGACTGGTGATTTTTCTTAAAACTGGATTAATTAGCAGTATGCTACTACCCTGTTCCATGTGATAAATATGGCAGAAACAGTACGAGTTTCATAGTGCTGAATTCTCTAAAACATGAGCTATGAGACTTCAGTAGGGCAATGAAGATAACGTAAAGCATTTCATTGAACTCAACCGCTACGGGAGCTTCAAAAGTTTCATTCCAGCAATGCTAGTTAATGGGGGAAATAGTCTCTCAGGATGGCCGAGGGAAGAAAACGGAGAAAGAGGAAAATATCATCCTAGCAGTGGCTCATGTTAATGTACTAGCATGTAACCTTCATTACTGTCGTCAGCCGAGGACCACAGTTGACTGACCTGTTTATTAGTGATGGATGTAGTGAACACACGCTGGCCGTGATTAGGATGTTAAAATATCTCTATTATCTCTGTTAAACTTAATATTCTTATAAAGTATGACCCAATATTCTTAATTGTAGTAACTTTGCGTTAATATTGTAACGCTTAATGTTTTTTTTACTGATAGTTCTGGTAAGAGGCAGTGATGCTGCTGTATGTGGTGCCTTTAGGTGTATCTGGCGCTGACTTTCTCCGTTCGCTTGAGGAACGTAAACTGGCTTGGAAACCTTGGCGCCGCCGTTTTTCTTTTTAACTACACACAAAAAGAACAGTACTAAACTTTAATATTATTTTCGTACATTATTGCTTTTGGATGCCTATAACGTAAGTTTTCATGATTTGTATTCTATAAAAGTGAAAGTTGTCAAGAAGCACGAGAACCTGTTGATCCAACACGTGAGCGCCGGTCTTGTTACTCGGTTGACACTGTTATGAGGAGCAACATTCAACTAGAGTTTCGGTGTCTGCCCGATCCCCATATAGAATATCTCCAGTCAAATGTACCTCAGTGCACGATTTCGCATTAACTGAGGTACAGAGGGTACGAGATTAGGGCATACACCGCCCATTTTTTTTTTTTTTTTCAAAAGAACCATCTTTAAACTTAAAACCAAACTGAAGAGGCATTGGTAGTTACCTCGTATAGATCAGTATCCCAAAATACACTTAACACTAAGTTTGAAGCTGCTCAGAAGTTGCATTATCACAATATCGGATTGAAGTCACTGATAAGGAACCCGCAAATTATCTTGTCAAAACGTTGTATTTTGGTTGCTTCGCGATCAAAGTATCCCCATATTCCATAACCCCCAGTCTCCCGTGCCTCAGTGCAGGCGACTGAAACAATGCAGACTGCACCACAAGTTGAAGATCTAAAGAGAATCGGAAGTATTCACGAATCATTGGGAAACTAATATCCAAATTTCAATGAAAGTGGTAAATCAGATCATACACAACTCAAATCCAATTCAAACCTTTCATAGAAGCCAGTAAAACTAATATGCTAAAATACACGCACAAATTAACCTTGAAGCCGCTCAGAAGTTACATAGTACTAAGCATGGAAGAATTAACGTTAATCATATGCGATACTTAATTATCACACGAAAAGCAGCATTTGGAATTTACAAATTTCTTTCATGAAAAAAGCAAATTGAAACCTACATAGGCAAAAGCCGATCCAAACTTTTCTCCAATAAAGACTAGCCAACTTTCAAAATTACAGTAAGTTTGATATATGCTCGGTGTACATAAGATTTTTTTTCTTAATGGGCCTGAGGGCACACGGATGTTATAGGCGCATAAAAGAACATTGTTGATTTAACTGAGGATAACCAAATGTCAAACATTAATTTCTGATTAGAAGAGACATTCTTCAGTTATTTCACCAAAATTAATTGAATAAAATTGGAACATGCTAACTTGTATCGCCTAACATCAAGAAGTTGCTTCCTTTGAAGCAAACATGTAGGACTAAAAGTTTCAAGCTGACCAGAAGATGCATTTTCCAGTTACAGCACAGGATGTAACAATATGTACCTTTAAAACCAAAACTCGTGAAAGTCTCCATCAATTTCATGCGATGCATCAGCTATTGTTATATTTTAACAAGAATAATTGTTATATTTTAATAGCTAAATCCGTAGTGGTCATAGAATTCTTGTGTAATTGGAGGCATTCAAAATCGACCCATGAAAGGAGAAGATAAGTTCAGTTCCTTGGATCAAGAGCCCCTCACCATCATGGCAAGATAATGCAATAATGTAAAACATTACAAAATTTCGAGATTAAAATTAGCAAAATGGCATCTGCACTTGATTCCAATCTTCTTTTAAGCAAGATACACCAACGTTAAAATTTTGAAGGCGACCAGACAAACCTGTTCCCAATTATCATAAAGAAATAAAATTTGCGAATGACTTGTATAACACTGTGCACTAGGCACTCCCTTCCCCCCCCCCCCCCCAGCAAATAGTTCCATGAAACTTGCCCAAGTTAAATTACACCAGCGTTGAAAATTTGGGGCAGATCCAATAAAACTTTCTCGTACTAAACAAAAATTTGAGGAAGTAACGAGAATGTAGCTGAGAATGATTCGAGAAAAAAAAATAGGTATCTCCTCGCTGAAGTTCAAAACGCCGTAATATTTCGAAATTATTTTTTTTAAGTTCGCTGCTCGTATTTACATCTATTTAAAATTTTCTTACATTCCTGCAAGAAGCAATACTTTATTTTTTTTAATCCATTTTGAAAAAACTGTCAAAAAAGACAAATTGGCACCCACAGCCCAAAATTAATATCAAAATACTTGTAGTTAAGATAAGACAGCATTTAGGGTTTGAAGCCGATCAGAAGTGCATTCTCTAGTTATTACAAGGGGAAACTATTTAATAAAATTGGCAAACTGAAATTTACACTGTTTAAAGTTAATGGCAAGCTTTGTTTTAATCAAGCTCATGAGTGGTAAGTTTGAGGCCGATCAGAAAAGGCATTTTTCTAGTAACTGATCTGATTCCAATGATTAAAAGTTTTCAAGTTTGTACCTACTCGGACTAGACTTACGCGGTATCATTCTTCTTACAGAATGTACCTAAAAGGCACCATATCGCCAGCTCATAACTTAGCGCATTTAGTTTAATATGACGCACGCTTTTTATTTCTGGAATAACCTGCTTCTGGCAAACAATGAAGCCCCCCCTCGTAAATCTAGATTACAAAATTGGTAGATAAAAGTTAAGTCCATAACTTTAACATTCCATGGAATTATGGTAAGAATAATTCAATATTTGTCCCAGATTTTTATTCGGCAGTTTAGTGGTGAGGGAACACTTAGCCAGTATAGGAAACCTTTGCCAATGATCATAGCAATGATTTTCAAATTCTAACAAAGAGTAATATACAAAAATTTCCCAAAATATTGTGCAAGCTGTCCAAAGAACATTTCCCCGCATAAAAATCTCTCGATAAAAATGATCTCGATTGGATAGACAAAATTCAGACATCTCTTGGGGTAAAACGAATTTATTTTAGCATCAAAAGAAGAGAGGGTAATCTTAACATGACCATATTAAATGGTCAAAAAAAAAGGTACACAAAAAACTAAAGGAGACTGAGATTAAAGTTGCATGGTAATCAGACAAATCTGAAAGGCTTTAAAGTGTGTAGGACAAAACTAAGATTAAAGTTTGCTTCAAACTAATGCAAACTCGTGAGAATTGACAGTGAGGGGAGACTGGACCTAGGGGTAAATATAACAGCGCACATATCGCAAGAAATATACAAAGCCTATGGGCAGCTTACTGAAAAATTTTCATTCTAAACGCTTGTTTCCTGTATAGTTACACAAGACTCAAATTAAGTATCAGAAGCTGAACATAATAAGCCGCTGACTTGCCTGAGAAGTCGTAAGTAGGAGAGGTAGACGTGAGGTAATACAACTTTGAGGAAGCAAGTTTGAGGTGGTCCGTCCCTCAGCCATATTAGGTGTGAAACTTCACAGCTTCAATCAGTGATCAAAGCCATGTAGGTGAATACCTACCAAAGTCTACTGGTCATGGTCTGCCTTAAATGACTTATTGAAGCTTTTTTTTTTTTTTTTTTTTTTGGGGGGGGGGGGAGGGGGATTGAGGGCATAAATGGCCCCCCCCCCATGTAAGTATTTGCAGTATTTGTCACTTCTGTATTTTAACTGGAGAAGATTGATGAGCATGCGAAAAGGCTCAGCAATACAAATGCCCAACTACTGGACATGATACTTAACACTTGAGTATCTTTATAAAAGAGAAGTTGCGCCAACTGGTGGCAACAGCTGGTTACTCTAAGCGACAAAATAGCTGAGAGTAGCCACGAAAATTAAAAAATTACACGAATATCACTTATCTGAAAATGAGTTTTAATTTGAGTCATGATGAATGAGTGAATATTACCACTCCCCGTTACACCTTCGACATGAAACCTTCCATTCTTAAGCATATCTTGGTTAAAATTTATATAATATATATATATATATATATATATATAT